CAAGCCCAAGGCTACTTTGCCTCCATTGATATCCTGTTGTGTCTTGCGAACACTAGATTAAAAGGTAAATCTCACACATCTTAATAGTTAATACTGGTGGCCAGTGCTTTTTATGAGTTTAGATCTACCAGTCTGGTTACTTAATACTCCAACGTTGATTATTTCTGCCGAACTAGATGGATTGTTTTAATTTTGTTCATCGAATATAATGTGTACAAGACAATAGATTAATTTGTTGATTAGATGCGCTTAAAAATATGAGCACTGCTACATGGATAATATTTTGCGGCTGATTTTTGCACGACAAAAAATTGCAGCCATGTATCCGTGTTGTTCTGTGAGCTACAGCCGTCAATCATGAGTGCCGTATGATTTCGTTTAGCACTCCGTCGTCCGCACAATTATTCCGGAAAAAATATTACGCCTAATGAAAGAAAGGGTTCTGGCTTAATATTATGCAATAGTTGTGTGCATAAAGATCCAGGTTGTTGGGGAAGGGTCATCCTCTAATAAATTTTTTTTGTGGGTTTCGTTAGATTCTTCGGCCCCCTCATGTTGAAATCCTGGCTCCGCCCCTGCCCTTACGGCTTTGCGACGCCAAGGTGCAGATTACATCACTACGAGCGAACCTCAGCCGTTGCTGCCGCCCGCCATCACTATGAAGCTCTTAACCCATTTCTCACTTATGCGCCGGCTTCGGCAGTCAATGGCCTACGGACCATGGATGGGTCAGACGGCCCTTCGTGTAGCATCTTTTGCTCAGCCGTTCGTGTTGCGTTGCACACTTATAGAGTTTTTTTTTAACACAATGCAATCAAAGACGCTCACATACACAAACGTCTCGTAGTCGACCATAAGGAAAGCTAACTATCTCAGCTAGGATCAGCTAACCATCTCAGCTAGGATCAGTTCGCCACACCTAGGGAGAGACGGAGAATTGAACGCTTGGTTTGCTGCCAGACAGGGCGACACTCCAAACATTTGGTTACCTCCAGCTTTCGTCGCGCGAAGAAATCACGCACTGGATTCATGATTCTCTTCAGGCTCAAAACAGAACAGCAGGCCCAAAACGCAACGCCCACGGCACAATATCCCCAAGGGCACATTAATAATAAAGCTTTGTATCAGAAAAAAAACATAAATAATGAAGCTACTGACAACATAGTTCATGGATCAAGATACAGGACAGAATCGCGAAGCTCAGAGCACTGAACCTTGGTCTCTCTCCGAAGAGCGGATCCTGAGATAAACGAATTGACAGGCCCTGATATGTATGCTTGCTGCTCCCAGCTCAGGATCAGCGATACCAGCCTTCCTAAATCTCACCGTCCCACAGCTCCTCGTGGGTCTTGTAAACGCTCTGTGGGTTAACGGCGAAGTTGCCTCTGAGCAGCCTAGCCTGTAGATCACGAAATAAAAAGATAGTAGATGCAGATTATCACTGAATGAATGATTGAAAACGGTCTAGAAATTTCTGCTGTGCAGCTAGTCACACACTTCTTCATTTTTATTTTTATTTTGGAAATGCTCATCATAGTATATGATCAACTCTACTGTTACTAATGTTCTTCCAGAAAAGCAATTGATATACCATACCCAAGGGACACACAGTTGTGCCCTTTGTAGCGAGCAAAAATGAACATTAGATGGAATCATATGAATTTATTCAGTGCATATATGCTAAATACCTCCTTAATCTCTGAGAACTTTGCAAGCACGTCATCTGGAATTGACCAATCATGAACATCAAGGTTTTGCTTTATCCTTTCTTGATTCGTGCTCTTTGGTAGCACGCTGTGACCCATCTGAATGTTCCAGCGCAGAGCCACTTGTGCAGGTGTCTTCCTGAGTTTCTCGGATATTGAGATGATTATTGGTTCTTTAAGGATGTTACCATTCATCCAAGTAGTACCAGGTGAACCTAGTGGCGAGTAAGCCTGCAAAACATATACAGATGAAAAAAGAAGAACAACAAAATATTCAGCAAAAGCAATCCAGCTTCTTGAGTGAGAAATAAGGCACAAGATAATCACACTAATATAGAAATAGCTGAGGTAATCAGACTTACACTAAGATGAACACCAGCTGACTGACAAAAGTTGTGGAGCTTAGTTTGCTGCCAGCAAGGATGGCATTCCACCTGATCAACAGCTGGAGGTACACGAGCTACAGCAAGCAAGTCACCCAACTTCTTTGATGAAAAGTTACTCACACCAATCGCGCGAGCTTTGCCAGCATCATGTAACTTCTCCATTGCCCCCCAAGTAGCAGGGATGTCAGGTGTAACAAAGTTTTCAGGGTTGTTGTTCGTTCCCTTCTTGACTCTAAACGGCCAATGGATCTACAAAATACACAAAACGGTCAGAGATCGTAATCAAATTATTTGCAAAAAAAATCATGCTAAACAGGTTCAACATGTACCCATCTAACGCTAAGCTGAAGGCACCAGTAAAAAAGATAAAACTCATTGAACAATACATTAATATTTTCTGCAATGTATTCAAGAAGCCAAAAAACGAACATCATAAGTGATCTTGAAATAATAAATAATTTGACACAGAAATCAATAAGACCCATGTTAATCCATACCAAATAAGATGGAAAAACATCCATGGGTGTAATATGGCTATATGAATAGACAGAATTCAGGGAATAGGAGCACATTTATTCAATAAATGACACAGAACCATATGCCCAGTTTCAACATTATATACCATAGAAATAGCACACGATGGATTAGCGCGGATACATAATTTTGTCAGTAAATATGATTTAACATTTAAGTGTGATATAGACCAGACAAGTGACGCCTTCCTGCTGAGGAGACCTTCTAATAAAATAGAATAAAACGATAATACACAAAAGTAGAGATATCAGTACACACAAAAAGATATATTAATGATATAGAGGCCAGAATAGAGGGAGTATAATCGTAAATAGGAGATGCTCACAAGATAAAGATCCAAGTAATCAAGCTGTAAATCATTCAGGCTTTCATTTAGTGCCTCTGGCACATCTTCAGGAGCATGATGATCATTCCTGAAACCATAAGCCATCCAAGATCAGTTAGACATGAACAATTAAAAACTTCAAGTAGGCATCTAGATACTCGACCTGAGCTGCAGAGACACTATGACACCACAAGAGATTTGGGCTTACCATAGCTTAGAGGTGATAAACAGATCTTCCCGCTTCACTACGCCTTCTTCAAATAACTTCTTCAGTGCCAAACCGATCTGGATAAAGTAAATAACGGATATCAGGATCTGGATAAAAGAAGAAGCTCTGCTTTTGCATTGAGAAGGTGGAAAACTGTACATCAGCTTAGACAGCTTCCAGAAAAAATAAAAGAAAAGCAACAACTCTATATCTCTGCAAATTACAACTCTATATATTATATTGTGTTGCATGAGATGTGTAATTTTGAACCATGATAAAGTTTGTTCCATTGCATGTGTCAGTACAAACGTAATATTATATCTTACATTTCCAATTATTGTTTTGCTTTTCTGGTTGAAATTTGGATCTCCTTAAGGAAGGGACCATGTTTGTCGTGATTTTTGTTTTCTTATTCATGTAATAGATAATAGATACATGATATTTGGTGCTAAACATTTGGTTTTCCAACTATGAAATTTGTCTGGGCATATCGAACGTTCAAGATTTTCTTAAAACTTTCTACATGCCATGCAATATCTCTAAAATCTAAATGCATTTCTCGGGTCCACATATTTAGAGAAATTCCTATCATATCACTGAAGTCACAGACGGGCGCGGCAACGCGTGCCATCATTGATCTAGTATGTATAATATTCAAATTGAAAATTTGAGATGTTAGAGCATCTCCAGTCGTTGGCCTCCCCAGGAGGCATTTTTCTCGCCGCGTTGGGGGCTGCCGGCTAGAATTTTACTCCGGGTTTCAAATCTCTTCCAGTCGTTGCCCCCCACCCCCCACCCCCACAGCAGACCGCGCAGTCACCACAGGAGCCCGTGGCCACGCCCGTGGCCGTGCCTGCGCCTGCCCGTGGCCTGGCCGCTGCTGCTCGCGCCGGAGGAGCTCCCTGTCCAGGAACTCGCCGAGGCAGACGCTCCGGCCACGCACGCTCCGCCTCTGCCCCGGCCGCTCCGCGCCACTCCACCTCTGCCCCGGCCACGCGCGCTCTTCCTCCACCCCGGCCTTGCCCGCTTCGGCCTCGCCAGCCCCGGTGTTGAGGCATATCTCTCTCGAGGTAGTTTTGGTGATTGATGACAACATGTTTGCAGACTAATCATGTGCTTTGAGTAGTTCACAGATTCATCCTTGGCACGAGACGTTTTCTTCCCTTTGGAGTGTCATTCAAGACGGTGTAGCTCTTTCGTTTCTCTTTCGGTGGACTAGTTGCGTAAAGTGCACCGTACTATCAAGAGGGGGTCCGCTGGGGTATTGCTTGGGTGGAATCAACACGTACACATCAGCTTCTCACCCTCAGAGCTCTTCCACTTCATTGGAGAGAGATCTCTTCTCTTTTTGTGTCCTGTTTGGGTTCCGGTGGTAGTACCGCGCAACCCAGTGGTAGTATCATTGAGGAGTCACAAGCGGCAGTACCGCCGGTGACTCCACAGCAGTACTACCACTGGCCTGCCTGGCACCACCGCCTCGTCCTCAGCCTCAATGGAGATCTCTCTCTCTCTCTCTTGTCTGTGTCCCAGCGGTAGTACCGCACTACCAGCGGTAGTACCGCCGAAGGGTCACAGGCGGCAGTACCGCTCCGCAGCAGTAGTACCGCCGGTGACCCCGCAGCTGTACTACTATTGGGCTGTCTGGCTCCTACCGCCTCGACTCGAGGGCTCTTTTTCTCGTGTCGGGTTTTGCGGCACTAGTTGCAGCAGTAGAGGCGGTAGTACCGTTTCGGAGCGGTAGTACCGCCCTTACCACCGCGGTAGTACCGCCCTTACCACCGCGGTAGTACCGCACAAGGTCCAAATCCATGTTGCTCTTCTCTGCGCGGTAGTACCGCTAGCTGGAGCGGCAGTACCGCTGGCTCAGCGGTAGTACCGCCCCCTTTAGCGGTACTACCGCCCTGTGCGGGGCTGGTTGGTGGGGCAACGGTTGGATTGTTACCCCTACTATAAAAGGGGGTCCCCTTCTTCCCTTTTGACCTACCTCTTCCCCCTCAAGCTCCATTAATGCTCAAGCTCCATTAATGCACCAAGCTCCATTTTCGCCCGATCTATCTCTCTAGCCAATCAAACTTGTTGATTTGCTCGGGAGTGGTTGAGAAGGCCCCGATCTACACTTCCACCAAGGGATTTTCGATTCCCCCACTCATCCCTAGCGGATCTTGTTACTCTTGGGTGTTTGAGCACCCTAGACGGTTGAGGTCACCACGGAGCCATAGTCCATTGTGGTGAAGCTTCGTGGTATTGTTGGGGGCCTCCGATTAAGTTGTGGAGATTGCCCCCACCTTGTTTGCAAAGGTCCGGTTGCCGCCTTCAAGGGCACCAATAGTGGAATCACGGCATCTCGCATTGTGTGAGGGCGTGAGGAGAATACTGTGGCCCTAGTGGCTTCTTGGGGAGCATTGTGCCTCCACACCGCTCTAACGGAGACGTACTTCCCCTTAAAAGGAAGGAACTTCGGTAACACATCCTCGTCTTCACCGGATCCACTCTTGGTTATCTCTCACCTTTACTTGTGCAAGCTCTTTAGTGTTACTTCTCTTGCTTGCTTGTTGTTATTGCATCATATAGGTTGCTCACCTAGTTGCACATCTAGACAACATACTTTGATGCAAAGTTTAATTTGGTAAAGAAAAGTTAAAAATTGGTAGTTGCCCATTCACCCCCCCCCCCTCTAGTCAACCATATCGATCCTTTTAATTGGTATCGGAGCCTCGTCTCTTTATTAAGGACTTTACCGTCCAAAGAGTATGGTTGATACCATAGACGGTGTGGAGGAACACTCCGGTGTGAATCCGACCTCGTCTACGGGCGATGGGGGAACCTCGGTCTCTCGTGAGGAGTTCAATGTGGCCTTGGAGACATTCCTCCATGACGACCGAGGTTGAAAGCATGTTTACTAAATTTCTTGAGGGGCTTAAACTATCCACCGCACCGTTGAAAGTGGGTGACCCCACCGACAAGGTGACGGATGCTATCTTCGACAAGGGGGAAGCTAGTAGTGAAAAGGCTCCTTCTTCTAGTGGTAAAAATGGCACCGACATCTTTGCTCATGTGGAACCACCACTTGTTTATGGTGGACCAGTTCCTTCCACTCATTTGAATCATGCCGGTCCTCCCCCTAAGATTGTGAAAAATGAGGATTTGATTCTTGGGTTTACCGCTTTAAATGTCATTTAAATCATGTGAACACTAACCTTTGGAGAATCATTGAAGAAGTTTTCTATCCGCATGATCCAAGCAACTTCACTCCTCGAGAAGCCACGGATAATCAATTCAATGAGAATGCTCTCTTCATCATTCAAGATGCAATCCCACCCAAAGACCTACCTCATCTTCGGCCCTTCGCCTTGGCCAAAGACGCATGGATTTGTGTTGTCTCCCTCTACCGGGGAAGCGCAAGCATACAACGCTCCAACTATGAAGTGGTGCAAGATGAGGCCGATGAGTTTGCAATGAAAGAAGATGAAGAACCTCGTGAGCTTTATCAGAGGGTAACCAAACTCGCAGTCTCACTCTGAGATCACGGGAGCAAGGACACGGGTGAGAATTGGATCAAGCGCAAATTCCTCAAGGCAATGATGCCCTACCACAAGGCCATGTCCTCCGTCATTCGTCAAAGACCGGACTTCCACACTTTGACCTCAAGCGAAGTGTTGGATGAGTTTGTGGCCATGAACATTTTGGACAAGACCGCCGACAATGCGGTGCTTCGTTCTCAAAGGGCAAAGAAGCCCAACCTTGCATTGAAGGCCAAGCTCTTCGTTGAAGAAGAAGAAGAGGAAGAAGAGGTGAGCAACCCCGAGGATACGAAGTATGCATATCATGAACACATGGCACTCGCTTCAAGGCAATTTTGGAGCAAGAAAAACTCGAGGCCAAACTTTAACAAGAACAACTCAAGTGGCACGAAGAGCAAGCAACGTGTAAGGACTTGCTACAATTGTGGCAACGTGAGTCATTTTGTTGCGGAGTGCCCGTATGAGAAGAGGGAAGACAATGGTGGCAAGCTCATCTGAAAGGACAAGGCCAAGTTGTTCCCCAACAAGAGCAACTTCACCAAGAAGACTCGTCCCAAGACATTGGTGGTACAAGAAGAGTACAATGAGGATGACGACGATGATGAAGGTGATGAGTCGGTTGCCATGGCCTCCGTTGCCATTGCGACGACTCCACGGGTGTCCCTCTTCGACTCACCCAATGAGAGCATCACCGCCAAATGCCTCATGGCTAAAGCCACCAACAAGGTAACCCCCAACATCAAAACTACCATCATTAATCATCCTTCTCCGATGGAAAGCATTAATGAACTTGAGGGAGCGAATGTGGAGACAAATGAGTTTGAGGCCTTTATGGACAAACTTAAGGGAAAATCCAAGAAGCACTTTGTTGCTCTCTTGGAACAACTTGGTGAAGCCAATGACATGATCGAGGCTCACGAAGACACCATCACTAAGATGGAAGAGCATAGTCGTGACTATGCCGATGAGATTTCGGATCTTTCCAATGCTCTTGAGGAAGAGCGTGGTCTTCGTTTGGCTCTTGAGGAGTCACACGACGTTGATCATGCTAAGTTAAAGAAAGATTATGATCATGTCCTCATTGTTTCTCATGTGCTAAACTCCGAGAAGGCCGAACTTGAGGTTGATCTTGCTAGACTCAAAGAGGAGTTTGATCTACTTGACAAGGCTCACAAGGTCTTGAAGGGTGCTCATGCTAGCCTCAAAGAGTCTCATGATCAACTTCAAGTAAAGCTAACCAAGGAAAAAGCCACTTTTCCTCGTATGATGTTAATTGATAATGCAAATGCTACTAACCCGTGTCGTGAGCATGTGCATCTCGTTGAGGAGAACGCTAAGCTAAAGGGGCAACTTGAGAGAGGTCTTGCGACTTGCAT